AACAAATGCCTAAGCATGTAACTTTGATATCCAACTATGAGTGTTTAGCTTATGATGGTCGTGAGAGGGAGCTACTTGGTTTGATTTCTGGAATTGTCAAAGTTTTTTATGCAGCAAATTTTACTAATTTCCTGCCACCATATTCTTCCTCATCTCCATTACATTCTTACTCCTCGTGAAATTAAATTAACAGCCAACACCCACGAACATCCAGAGTACAGATGAGTGTCCAGAATTCCGCCTCCATATTCTGTGTTTGTGTGGCAGTCCAATTTTTAATTTCCAATGTTAATAAAGTAATTTTTTCGATCTTCACCTTTGGTAAGTTGAATTTTGACGTAATTTTCGAAATCGTACTCATAGGCTTCCTCTCTTCTAGTTTTGTAAATATGTTCTGTGTTGGATGCGGCTTTAGCCACCAACTTTATGCTGATAACAGCATGAACACTTACATTTTTATGTATAAGTATTATACTTAGGCATGTCGTATATGACCATATTTCTCTCTGCCATTTGGAAGTTTTTGATGTAGGGGAGATTGGGGTATTAGCGCAGTCTGAGAAATAGCGCAGATTCCATTTTTTGGACACACTCTTGGCAACATAGCTTTATTGCCCAAGGAGGGGTATTGAGGAACACCGATTAGTGCATTACCAATTGTTAATGTGAACACGATCGTTTAAGATTTAAAAAATTATTTGTAAAAATACACGAGAAAATTTGTTTTTAGTGATATTTTCTTCTGTAATTTAGTGGTAAGTACCCTTCTTAATTTAGTGCACTCCTAGTTACAATTAATTTATGTCCTTGTGGTCCAGAACCAAACCTATTTTTTGTCATAGTTTTGTATCAGATTGCAGTTGGCAGCTTTTCAAAAAAAATGACGTAATCGGGGAAATAGCGCAGTTATCGTGTTGGGGCATTAGCGCATATGCGCTATTACCTCGATAGGTAGGTAGTTCAAAGTAATTTATTTCAGATGCCACGAACGGACAAGAAAAAGAACGTTAGAAGTCAATGGGAGTTAGCAGACCTCAGAAAAGCTCTCCAAGATGTCACCTCAAATAAATTAAATTATTATTTTCTGTTTATCGGCAATTAATCCAATAATAAGTTTTATTAGTAAGGTTTTATTAATTGTCAACTGATTTTTCGGAAACTTACCTGAAACAACCATCTGAATAAAGCAATATCACGATCTACGAGAGCCACTTGAATATGCCGCAAACTATTGGATTTACCAAATGGTTGTCAGACCCATTTTCACCTACGCCTTCTTGGTATGGTTGCTAAAGACTAAGCAAATTACTGCACACAATAGTCTACGTAAAGTACAAAGGCTAATCTGTCTAGGAATGACAGGGGTTATGTCAACCTGCTCCACCGCTGCCTCAGAGGTACTGCTAAACATGCCTCCTCTTCATCTATATATGAAGAAAGAGGCAAGAATAGATGCCTATAGTCTATTCCAGACACAAATATTGAAACTCGAGTGCCAAAGTATACCAATATATCATAATATGATGACATCACTGGACCTTGACATTCCATATGAAGTGGTTTAGTGGTTGTAGAAGAACGCTAATCATGGAAGAACCTTGATGTGGGAGCCAGGACACCAGGGCATAGAGGACAATGAGGAGGCAGACCGTAACACCTTTTCAAGGCCTAGAGCCCTTTTGTGAGCCACGTCTCCGAACAGATGGGAAAGAACCGAATGCTAGCTCATTAAAGATCCATTCCGGGTCTGAGACAGGCAAAAAGGGTCATATCCATTTCAGCGAAGAGATCTGAACAACTTGTTGACATGAGCAGAAGAGAAATTAGAACAGTCGTGGGACTTCTCACTGGACACGGCCTAATATCGCCTAAGAACAATAGGCAAATCACAAAGCGACCATTGTAGATCTTGCGAACAAGCAGCAAAAACTATGAAACAATAATTTAATGTATGAATGCCCTGCTCACTTCTGCAAAAGGCTGAAATACCTTGAAGAGGTACGGCTAATACCCCAACAGGTCGGCACTCTACCACCCCATTGTTAAGAATTTATGTAAGCTCATCAGCTTCTCATTAGGAGATAGCGCTCTATGTTTTAGATACGGTTTTATAATGTGCAACCTGCTAATATTGCAATGACATGAAATGTGTGTTCTGTCAACTTTGTCAATGTTGTTGGTTGCTTTCTTCTATTGTAACCGGATTGTTAATAATAAATACGTTGTTTAAAGTCGTCGAATCTGGGATTTTATTAATAGAAAATAACAGGTTATGGGCCCAGCTCACCCAAAAAAGAAAAACTAATTTGTGAAAAAGAAGCAAGACTTCAAAAGCAGAAAAATGAATGTGATAACAGTCTCAGTTAAATGCCGAACATTTTAACAATTGGAAATTCAGAGTGGGGGCTTTATTGGAAGAAAAGCAGATAGAAGATACATTGGAAAAGGTTTTAGACGACTTCACTGGAGATAAAGAAAAATCAGAATTTAAGGTAAGAGATGCAAAGGCCAAATCAATAATAGTACAATGTATAAGCGACAAACACCTTGATATAATAAAAGACTCCAAAACAACAAAAGAAATGTTAAAGGCATTGGAAGATGTATTTCAAAGACGAAGTGTATTTACTAAACTGACACTTAAAAAACGATTACTGACCTTAAAACATAAACGAAACGAAAACCTAGAAGATTATTTTCATAAATTTGGCACGTTGATAAGAGAACTAGAAATCATTGGATCCAAGGTAGAGGAAGAAGATAAAGTTTGTCATCTTTTATTAACACTTAATGAAGAATTTGACCCAGTAATTACAGCAATCGAGACAATGAATAAAGTAACAATGGACTTTCTGAAGTCTCGCCTACTCGATGAAGAACTGAAGTCTAAAGCAAAACAAGGACATAGTGTTGCCCAGCTAGAACAATCTTTTAAAGCATTTCAATTAACTTGTTTCAAATGTGGTAAGTGTTGTATAACTCCATGGTACTGTACCAACTAGTATTAGCAGAATATTGCCTTAACTATAGTCATAATTATAGAAACGTTTTAACACATTTTAAGTTATTCAATTTAATAAAGCAAGTCCTGTTCAACGAAACCTATAATTATTATTATCCCTTCATCTTGAAGACACAAACACAACAGGACATAAAATAGCTGATTGTAGGCTAAATTCGAATACAGTTACACGAGGGAATTACAGAGGTCGGAGAAACAACAGAAGAGGATATTATCAGTCAAATTATCAAAACAATAGGGGTCAAAGCCATGGTCAATTTCAACCAGGTAACAGAACAGGGTTCCAAGCAAATAAGGCAGACGAAATTGCATTCATTGCATTAAGCACTGTAACCTCACCATGTGCAGTAAACAGCTTCATCCTGGATTCAGGATGCACTCAACATATGGTAATGGGAGATTTAGAAAAGTACATGTCAGATGTCAAGGATCTAGAACACGAAATTAAAATTGGAACAGCCAAAGAAAAAGATGTTGAAGAGGCAGTAAAACTCTTGAAGAAAGATTTCCAAGCCAAAGACTTAGACGAAGTTAAAAACTTTTCAGGAATGAACATAACAAGAACTGAAGGAGTTATAGAAATAAACCAAAAAAAAAAATTATAAAAAAGTTACTGACAACATTCAAGATGGAAAATTGTCATGGAAAAACAACACCAATGGAGAAAGGATTTCAATACAACACTGAGAGCGAAATAATTAATGTACCTTATAGAGAATTAATTGGAGGACTAATGTACCTATCAATAACTACCAGACCCGACATTACATTTTCAGTATCATATCTAAGTCGATTTTTAGATAAACCAACAATTGAGACTTGGAATGTAGAGAAAAGACTGAAAAGAGTTTTGAGATATTTACGGGAAACCAAAATGAAAACTTTAACCTATTATAAAAATGATATTACTGAATTAAAACCCACTGGATATTCAGATGCAGATTGGGCAACTGACAAAATAAACAGGAAAAGTGTAAGTGGATGTATTATATTGTAGGTATGGTAAAAATCCAAAATATTGGTTCTCAAAGATGTGGCAGCGGCTACTTGTGTACAGGATTTAGTAAACCTTAAGGGGATTTTGAATGATTTTGAAGTTGATAATGAAATGATTTTGTATTGTGACAATAAGAGTTCAATTCTAATGTCAAAAAGTAACGAAAACTCTAAAAGGGCGAAGCATATAGATATAAAAAATCATTACTTGAAAGATTTAGTTGCACGAAAGGAAATAACAATTAACTATGTATCAACTGATCAAAATTTGGCGGATATATATTAACAAAATCTTTAACTAAAGATATATTTGTATATCTAAGAAATAAGGTTCACATTGTTTAATGTAGGTACCTAACTCAGTTTAGTTCTTTATTTTATTTTATATAACATTCAAAATCGAGGAGGAGTGTTAAGAATTTATGTAAGCTCAGCTTCTCATTAGGAGATAGCGCTCTATGTTTTAGATAGGTACGATTTTATAATGTGCAACCTGCTAATATTGCAATGACATGAAATGTGTGTTCCATAGGTGTGTTCTGTCAACTTTGTCAATGTTGTTGGTTGCTTTCTTCTATTGTAACCGAACTGTTAATAATAAATACGTTGTTTAAAGTCGTCGTATCTGGGATTTTATTAATATAAAATAACACCAATAAGCTGGCTTCCTTTAGGAGAAGCATACAAATCTAATTAGAAGCAGAGTCACGCACAAAATATCTGGAAAGGTAGCAGTGCTTGAGCGGCTGGAACAAGCTGACTCCAAATGCAATCTACAATCTGCTGCTAATGTAAAAATTTCCTGTTCGGCGATTGTTGGTTAGAATATGTCAATAAAATTTTCACTGACATTGCTAGCAATCAAAGTCATAACAGAAAGAATTGCTATACACCAGCAATAAAATGCCATCAGGCCTCTCATGGTTGAGTTTTCCTAAATTATAAAAGAAGGGTATACAGTAAGCATGCCAATAACATCAAAATGTTCAAACATTTCTGTAGGTCTCTAAGGTCAAAAGTAGCCAGAAGAAACCTGCCCAATGAAAAATCTGACAATATAAATGGAAAAGATCTCAAAGAAGAGCCAAAAAATGAACCTGAAAAAGACCTATCGACAGCAGGCGGTGATACAGTAAATGGAAAAGATCTCGAAGAACAGCCAGAAAATGAACATGGAAAAGATCTAACGACAGCAAGCGGAGAAACAGTAAATGGAAAAGATCTAGAAGAACAGCCAGAAAATGAACCTGAAAAAGATCTATCGTCAGCAAGCGGTGAAACAGTAATAAGAACTATAAACTATGAAACAGATAGCAACAAAACAGACAAACAAAATGAAGAGATGCTTGAATCAGTTGAGGCACCAGTATCAGAACAAATAATAGAAAGCAAAACAAAATTTCAGGATTCTAATGAAGTAAATTTGAAGCCATTTCCAATAGCAGTTTCTCTCAAATATTTTTTGCCAAAAGACGAAGAAATTGTTAAAAAGGTTATAGATCCATTTTCAGAAGCGGTAGTCAGAAACACTTCAACAATGTTTTCAAGGAAATGTCGTTATCAGTGCTATAAGCGTAATAAAAAGTGCAAAATTTGCCAATGCAGAGAAAATGAAATATTTTCACTTAACAATGCTATACGCAATGTAACAGTTATTGCCGCACATAGCCATTCAGTCCAAAAAGAAGATGAAAAACCAATGCAGAAATACAAAAGTGCAAAAAAAATCGTTTTGCCGAAGGAATCCTTGAAAACTTTCGAAAAAATCCAACTAAAACTAAACAACATGAAAATATTTTATCCAAACGTTTACGAAAGTACGGATAATGTTTTAGATCAGTGGGGAAGAAATGCAAGTCTGACAGATATGAATCAAGAACTGCTAAACGCTGACGAGCTTCCTATAAAAGCCTTAATTTAAATATTCCCTCCTTTAATTTGACATTATTGACTGCTTATATAATAATACACTGTGGGCCAAATTAAATTTGCATTTTTTTATCTCAAATGTTTTTGTATCTTTTGCGCCTGATCTGATCAGTGCCATTATGGAGCCATTATAAGCAAAAAAGAAAAATAGTTTTAATAAAGTGCTCCCTTTTAGAATCAGTAGTAGATGAGTCAGCAGTCAGCAGGTCAGTGCCCAATACTATATCAGATAAAATTTAAAAAAGAAAATTTTCTCAAAAAATTAAGCTACGTACCAGTTTTTATTCAAAATCCGTTAAGAGGCTTAAAAGTTATGATACCACAAAAAACCTTCTGTATTGTATAGGTAACTACTTTTCAAAAATCTACGGTTCGAGCATATAACAACACATAAACTATCACTTTTTATATGTTCAATTTAACTCAACGCACATCGGGCACAAAATCAAAAATATTTGAAATAAAACTTCCTCCATAATAATATGAGGTCACATTTTTTAATCAGCTTATGGCCTGGTGGTGAGCTATAGATGGCTACAGCCTATAAATTTAAGTACTTTGATTAATGGGTATTAGATCACATTGCACATATTTTCTGGGTAGCTACGTGGAGGACAAAAAATATTTAGTGTGAAATAAAAGCCTCTTAGTTAAGCAAGTAATGGGCAATAAAAGCTAATTTAAAATAATGGTTTTTGGTGTCAAGTATTTTATTTGTTTATATAGGGTAAACCAAAAATGTATGTGATAATGTGTTATATATAAAGTTTTTCATGATTAGAACACTCACTCTCACAATGAAATCATCAACAAGTGTTTTGTGTTTTGCTTTTTTTACCTAAGAAAATGTAACTATTTTCATCTAGTTTTATATGTTTCGGTAATAATCCGTATATTTGTTAGGGTTTACCGGTATAAGCAAACTGGTGAATGAATGTTTTGGTGAAAATTTTCTTATCATAATGAGGTAAAGCTAGTAAAGCTACAAATGTTCATTTATTTCAACATGATAAGAACTTGTTTTTTAGGTACAACTTGGACACGCAGCTATAAAATTAATTCGTGAGGATTTTGCAAAAGCTCATGTTATTAGTTTATTGGAATCAAATCAAATTACACCCTTGAAAAATCGATTAAATACCGCTGAGGATTTGAGGGGGAAATGCAGAGAACTTTAAGAAAGCTGAAATTCAACACTCACACACATACTTTTCCAGATTATATCGTTGATTATTATATTCAGCATTGTTTGCCAATTAGACCAAAAAAGAATAATCATTTATAGAATTGAAAACCAAAAACCTCTTACAACTCTATTGGAAGCGGCTTTGAGTGCATGTCTATATGTCTTTTCTCATCATTCCTCCGTATGTTTTTGTTTTCTTTTCTCAAAGATGTTTATCATGGTCAAACAATACAATAAAATTAGCAAATCTTGAAAACAGACGGATTTTCCTATTAAAATGTAGATCCAGAGATATTGTACCCAAATACCTTGATGGAGAAATTGAATGCATATATCTACATTTACAGTGAAACTCACCCACTTACCAAAAAAGCAGACAGAATAATCTCTAAATTTAAAAGATCAATCCTAAATTTATAGATAGAAATAGACATTTCAATATGGAAATTAAAAAAATTGCAAGAAGAGACCACTAGAATTAAGACAGAGTTCAAAACCAAGGTGCCTGAAGAAACATTTACACTGTATATTAATGAAAATAATAGGAGGTGTACAGGGTGTCCAAGATTCGATGGTTTTGGCAGGTTTCGGGTATTTCTGGAGGAGTTGGAAAAAATCTGACCCCCACTTGCGAGCCTCGATTTTCAAGAGAAGTTGACCGGTGAAACTCGCATCTCGATATCTCGATTCGTTTTTAAGCTACAAAAAGTTATAGGCCTCCTGCCAAACCCCAAACTTTTCAAAAACGACTCAACATATCGAGATGCGGTTTTTACCAGTCAATTTCTCTTGAAAATCGAGGCTCGCAAGTGATGATCAGATCTTTTCCAACTCCTTTAGAAATACCCGAAACCCCTCAAAAACCATCGAATCTTGGACACCCTGTACAAAAGAGAATTTCAAGAAATGAAGAAAATAAACTTTAAAAAATTCAAAAACCTTGAAAGTTAACAAAACGATATATGCTTTACAAAACAGGAAACTATACTGACACACATATCCTAGAAGATGTGGAAACAATACTTAGTCTTGGTCCAAAATTTCGTCTATCATTAAAAAAATCATGAAATCCCAATACCAACAAACATTAAAGACTTGAAATTTTATATCTCAGGACCAAAAATAAATGACGAAGAAAAACACATACCTATTAAGAGGCCAGACAACAAATATAAGTAATAACAAACTTTTATCTAAAAAATGAACACAATAAACAAAGTAATCTTGAAAGAAAAGTTGCAATCACAAAAAAGTTTTAAAAAAAAATGAGGACCTAATAGTTTGCAGGTCTGATACTGATAAGGGAAACTCAGTTATAATGAAAAAGGAAGAGTATATCAACAAAACAACAGAAATGTTACAAAACCCTAATATTATCTATGAGTCCCAACGACTTGATACCAAACGTGGGCTAATAGGTCTTTGAAAAAATAAAACCTAATATCTAAACATGAAGAGTACACACTAAAAACTATAAATAGCATTCCTCCTAAATTATACTACTTCAGGAAAACCCACAAGCCCGGCTTTCATCTAAGATCAGTGGTTAGTTGCATTCACCAAGCTATAAAATGGCGAAACACTTACATCTTTTGAGTCCTTTTAGCTCTACTTTTCATTATAATGTAAAGGATTCTTTTCATTTTACAAACCTCATCAAACACAAAATAATAGGTACCTCTACCTAAGTGTAGCAAAACGCACTCAAGTACTCTATTCAATTAGTTAGATGGTAAATGGCGAGCGGTATATTGATGGTGTTTATTTCCTTGAGCTGCTACCTATAAAATTGTGGAGGGGTCTGGGGTCTATTCGTAAAAGAGAGAAACAAACTATTGAGGTTTACTGAATTATATTTTATTATACTTAAAACCCAAAAATTTAAATAAGCAAATATCTTTCTATTCCGACAGCCACTTCTATTTTTCCCAATTCAAATTATTTCACATCCGTTCAAATTTCATTATTACGGACCAAAAAATATCCATACAAAAAAAAATAACGCCCTACTTCTTCTATTCTTAATAACTTATAAGTTTATACATTACTCTTTCAAACAACACTTCTGATTCACATTCCTATTAAAACTACCCTTCACCTATATCTATAAATTCTTAAAACTCCTAAGTCATTTACTAACTGCCTATGCAAAATAATTATTTAAGTCATAATCCTACTCACTGGATTAAGTACGTGTAATATGTATTATCAACTATATTTTTATAAAAACCTTACAATAATTTCTAAATGAAAAGGCCCTAATTCAAAATTTCAGCACTTAAGGTCATCAATGTTACAACATGAACAACAATTTTCGAACAAAACTTTTTATCAATTTAATCAGAACGATTACTATTTTCGGATTCCTAGCCAACAAATTCCCCTTTTAAAGTCTTTGCAAAATCAATTATAATGTCATTTTACTCGAGGGCAATTAAAGTTATGCAATAATGTTCCATAGTCAAAACACTCGAGTTATTAATATTTACGCAATAAAGTTCCAAAGTTAATTCACTTCATACTCATTGATCATTAATAGTCAAAAATAAAACTTGTCACTATAGAGTACAGGGTGATCTATTATAAATGTCACCCCCTGCTAACTTTTTCATTTGACGTTTTTAACAGAAGTGTCAAATACAAAAGTTTTAAGAAATTTTCAAAAGTTTTTGACTAAGTCAGTTTTAGGCATACAGGTTACGTCAAAAAAGTGCAGCAGTGTGAAGTTATATTTTTTTAAATGGAACACCCTGTATATTGTACGCTCATTTGTTAGTTCCGTTCAACCTAATTTCAACGATATATAGTTTGATATGTTTATCTCTCGGTTTATCTCCAATAGTGATAGGGAAAAACGCGAAAATCCCTTCCTAGGTCTCTCATGTTATTTTTTCAAATATAATAATAAAGACTAGACATCTGGATTTATTATAATATTTCACCTTGTATATTAATGGATAGAATTTGAGCAATAAACTGGTTATAAAAAAATTCTCTAAAGCTTAAATGGTATAATTTTTCTTTTTTCAATATGAAATCTTGATAGAAGTTTTCATGTTTTTCCCTATAACTATTCAAGATAAACATATCAAACCCTATATCATTGAAATCGGGTTAAAAGGGATTAGCAAATAAGCGCACAATATACAGGGTGTTCCATTTAAAAAAATATAACTTCACACTGCTGCACTTTTTCGACGCACCCTGTATGCCTAAAGCTGACTTAGTTGAAAACTTTCGACAATTTCTTGAAACTTTTGTATTTGACACTTTTGTCAAAAATGTCAAATCAAAAAGTTAGAAGGGGGTTACATTTATAATAGATCACCCTGTACTTACATTTTGTCCATAAAACACTAAACTAATCTTATTTAATTCTTTTGATTACTTAGAGCTCGCACATAATATTGAATGACTTTAAATGATCTTTCTTTCAGAATTCATCATCAAACGCGTTTTTCCCGAGGCAAAAATAAAAGAAACTCTTCGCGAATTCTTACCCGGACTGACTCATTAGACATCATTGACTCATAAAATCGAATAATTATGTCGCAATTTTGCTACGTTTTTTTTTTGTTGAAATGAATAAAAAGTGAAATGTAATTAAAATTAATTGAAATTATGAAATTTAAAGCTTTGGTCCATTGGATGTCTAGGACGTTGCAAATTTAGCCCTAGCTCAGAAATTAAATACGGAGAGTAGGGGTGGGTTTTTATGGGCGCCACTGACCTTGGACAGAATGGCCAGTATTATCCAGGCTGTTGGCTGGACCCAAAGACCAAGATATTATGATATAGGCAAAACA